CTCATCGGCTGGGCGCTCAGGGGGCCGGAGACGACGGGTGCGGAATGGGGGGTTGGGGGCGACCCGTTCGGGGGGGCCCTGGGGGAGGGCCTGAGGCGCGTGGGGGCTGTTGCAGGGGGGGGGTGTCAGATTGGGACGTGGACGCGTGTGGATGCATGAGCGTCAAGAGGGGGATACTGATGCATGGTCTGTTGCGGACGCTCGCCGCGGCGGCGGAGCCGCAAACCTGCCTTGACGTGCGGCGCGTGCCGCGAGCTGAAGCGGGGGCGCGGACCCCTGTGTTTGCGCGGGCGCCTCCGGGGGGGCCCAGCAGATCAAGGGCCTTCGAACGCCCTCAACCCCCGCCATCGCCTTCCTGACCCTGCTGACCTGACCCCGCTGTGACCTGCAATCCCCCCACCCCCACCAAAATCACACACACACACACACACACACACACACACACACGCCGTTGGCCCAAGCACTCGTGCAAACGATCAACAAAACACATACACTTACTCACTCACTCCCGGGCCCCAGGGCAGCTGCTGGACCATATCGGGGGCAACGTCAACCCCCTCCTCGTAGTGTCAAAGATCCCCGGCGGCATGGCTGTCCCGCGCCTGCGCGACAGGCTGCGCGCCATCATCGCAGACTTCCGCACCCAGACCTCCCTCCGCGAGGGCTGCAACGCGGTGCTGCGCTCCGACTGCCGCCAGCTGATGGCGCGCCTGCGGCGCGAGGCGCGGCGCGCGGTGCCGACGGTGTACGTGCAGCAGGGCGGGGGGACGGCGGCGCAGGGAGGCGGCGCGTGGCTGCGCTACCAGCCGGGCAGCAGGCAGCCGGCGGCGCCTGTGGCGACGGCGGAGGTGCCCGACATCGGCGGCGGCGGCGGCGCTGCGGGAGGGGTTTGCGTCGGGCTGCCGTGCCGGGTGCGGGAGCAGCTGGGGGACAGCAGCGGCGGCGGTGCGGACGGCAGCGGGGGGCAGGCGGCGCAGCGGCGGGCGGCGGCGGCGAAGCAGCGGTCTGCCAGGGCGCTGCAGGCTCGGCTGCCGTCGCTTGTGTCATGAGTAACCCGCGGCTTGGTGCTGGGTCCCATCTGGCAGCACAGACACGCGCCACCATCGGCATGCCCAGGCCAGAAACATGGTTATGGATGGACAAGGGGCATCCTGCTGGATTGCGCGGCCCCAAAACAGACCTCAACTCTCTACAGTATCATGGTGTGGTGGTGGCGAGAGCCACCGTTTTTGGGTTTTGAAACGCCACGCGAGGGTGTCGCGAGGCGCAGTCACACACGGGGAGGTGCGTGCGCGTC